TATCAGGAGTCAAATAAACTATGCAACCCCACTGAAAGTGCTGCAAGAGACACCCTGATGTAGTTCTGTAATCACTGAGCACTGTGTGCTTGTTCTTTGTCCTCAGAATTTCAAATAACTTGAGATGTTTATGATTATTAGCTATGTTTGCCTGTACTATTTGAACATACTGTCCGCAGGCTCTAGCTTATTTTTATGTTGATCGTATTAAAACAAAAAAACAATCTGAAGTTGTTGTTTTTAAGTTATTATACAATGATTTACCAGTCCGGCCCACTTGAGAATAGACTTTCTCCATGGGCCCTGAACTAAAATGTTTAGATAAATGGAGTGGTGCTAAAGAACAATCAAAAACCATTCAAAAGTTGTACCACCTTCTCATTTAATGGTTTTTCTGTATGTTCATTACTATTAATGTGCAGAATTTTGCTGAAGCATCAATGAATGAACCTCATCGAGTCACTGAGCAAATGCCAAGAGTGTGCAAAGCAGTAATCAAAGCAAAGTGTGACCAATTTGAAGAATCTAAAATATGAAACATGTTTTTCACACTTTTTTGTTTACTACATAGTTTTGATGCATTCACTGAGAATTTTCCAATGTAAATAGTCATTAAAATAAAGAAAGTCCATTAAATGAGAAGGTGTGTCCACACTTTTGACTGGTAGTGTATATATAATACAGCCGTATATAAGCTGTGACATATTTGTTTGTGAGAAGATAAAGAGTGATATCAAACAGAAATAAATGCACCTTGAATTTTTACTAAACTTCAGTATTTGAAACAGAGTTACATTTCGCTGCTGTAAAATTTGGATTAAATATATTTCATATGTTAAAATAAAAAATGTAATGATGGCCATATTATATTTCCATTATAATACCAAAGTGTAACAGACTCTAGTCTCATGAACTACATTAGCTAACTGCTGTTTACTAGCTAATGTTAATTTACTGTTGCAGCCTAATCATGTTTTTACAGTCCCATGGTCTCTTCAGCCTCAGATTCATTTTATACCAATGAAACATGTCAACTAAAGTAAGACAAATTAGATAAAATGAAGATTTCCTGCTTTATTTATGTAAAACATGGTAAATGGTCTGATTCTTATACAGCGCTTTTCTACTCTCCCGGAGTACTCAAAGCGCTGTATACAACATGCCTCATTCACCCATTTACTTCTAAACATAAGTGCAAACTAAACTACATTCACACGATGAACGCATCGGAGGGCAACTTGGGGTTAGTATCTTGCTCAAGGATATTTGGCATGCAGACTGGGGAAGCCAAGGATCGAACCACCAACTTTCCGATCAGTAGCTGAGCTGCTCTACCACCTGAGCCACAGCCACCCGAAACAATGCTGTATAAAACATTATTAGCCACTAATTTCATAGTTGCTAGGGAACCATAGCAGAACCTGGCTGTACTAGTAAGAACGACATACAGCGGCTGGTGGCTGGTGTACAGGAACATTTGTGCTAAGTATAACCTGGAAGTACCTAGGTCTAAAAGGGGTATGCCCCCTAGGGTGGTTCACAATGACTGAGCTAAGATCCTATGGGACTTCCAGGTACAGATGGACAAACTGGTGATAGCTAACCAACCGACAAGAAGTGGTGAGAGAATTTTTTGACCAGCCTGCAGGGCTAGATGGTAATTCTTTTATTTGAATTTAAATTTCAGGAAATTTAATTGTTTAGAAATATATATTTTTAAAGTTGAGTAAATGTTTAACTTAATCACCTTGTTAAATAATCAAGATTACAGTTTGTGTCCAAAATAATGATATTTGTGATATTTGCCATAAACAAACATCCTTAAAAGTTCATAGGACCTAAGTCCTTTTCATCATGCTTATTTCATAGGTAAGGAGGTGAAACTCTATGGTCCATTCTTCCACCTTTCCAGGCCTGATTTGACTGAGATGATTTGTTCATAAGGTATGATGTAGGATAACTTGAGATAGTAATCTTAATATAATTGAATTTATTTTAAGCTTGGCCAAGTAGTTAGTTTGTGCTGACTTAGAAATGTATATGAAAAAACATGTGAATTTAAGATATCAATTGTAACTGCCTTTTAAAGTTAACTTTAGCTATCAGGCTAGGATAGGATGGACTAATATAAAGTTAAAGCAGTGATTGAGGAGTCAAGATGGCAGTTTTTAAAGGTTTATTTCCTCCTAGTTTAATGCTCTAGTTCAGACTGACATTTAACTTCAGGGAGAGCTAAAGCCAACATAACAGACAAAACATCCCTAATAGAAAATAAAAGGAACTTACCTAATTCCAAAGAAAACAAATATACAACCTACAACAATAACCTACCTAACCAGCACATAAACAGGAGAAAACAAGGATTCACAAAGCAAAGGCAGCTCTCCCCTACAGGCAGTCTGGCCACAGTCACATAAGATACACATACAATTCCAAAGGTATGTAAGCCTGCACATGTATGGCAGTCACAATGGCCAGAAGGACCAGAAACACAGCTCCATGGACTTTATATGGGGCTCTGCTGATTTCTGATTGGCTTGATTCAGGCAACAGCTCCTAATCAAGAGGAGGTGGCGCTTAGACAAAACACCAGACATTATTTCACAAAGTAAAAACTAATATCATCCTAGGGAATGTAACAGCAACTATTGTAATGTTACACGTCTAAAATAATTATGGGTTGGTTGTTGTATTTAATAGGCTTTAGTGTAGTACCAGTACTAATGGATGGTTTAGTAAGTTGATAAGGAAAAGCACAGCCACCCATTGGAGAAAGCGCCTTTCCTCATTTCATCTCATTCTTTCCGTCACTATCCATAAAGCTCATCACCATAGATTACGCTCGGTTCTCTCTTCACCATGACAGAGCAGTGTAACGTCTACGTCACTGCTTTATTACTCCTTTCCAGTCACCTTTCTCACTCACTATGTGTTAACAGACCTCTCTGCATTGAATCATACTTGTTATTAATCTCTGTCTCTCTTCCACAGCACGTCTTTATCCTGTCTTCCTCTCTCACCCCAACTGGTCGCAGCAAATGGCCCCGCCCCTCCCTGACCCTGGTTCTGTCGGAGGTTTCTTCCTGTTAAAAGGGAGTTTTTCCTTCCCACTGTCGCCAAAGTGCTGCTCATAGGGGGTCATATGATTGTTGGGTTTTTCTCTGTATGTATTATTGTAGGGTCTACTTTACAATATAAAGCACCTTGAGGCGACTTTTGTTGTGATTTGGCGCTGTATAAATAAAATTGAATTGAATTGAATTATGGCTTATGTTGGAGTCAAATTGTTAAATGTTGCCATTATTGTACTTAAATTTATAAGTCTTGGTTCAAACTGTAGGATCTGTTTCTGACCACCTCCCCAGCCAGTTTGTTGGTGGGGGAGGCTCTAGTGTTTTATTATGGGACATCCTATGTGAGGGTTCTGTTTTCTTGTTTAGTAAACTTCCTGCTTTTATGACCTTTTTGGGGGCAGGAGGTCACAAAAACACACCCCCAAACACAAACACACACACACACACACACACACACACACACACACACACACACACACACACACACACACACACACACACACGGTTCATTAGTGTCAGTTGATAACTTTCCAAAGATTTGAATGAGCTCTTTCTCGACAGAGAATCTGGACTCTGCGGGAACTTATGCCAGGCTACTTTTTCAGGACTTTAGTCCCACTTTCAGGTGGATCTCTGACTTCCTGTTTGAGAGGAAGCAACAAAAGCAGAAAGCAGCACGTCATCATCTCTACTAAGACGATGCTGACGACCCCTCACATGAACTGTTTATCACATTGTCCTCTGGCAAGAGGCTGTTGTCCATCACTTCAGTTTCAGAAGAAGCCACTGATCTACACACACAGCGGATTAGAGCAGACATGCAAATATTGTTTTTATTTTAAGAATTTAAGATGCTTCAGTTTAGAAATTTAAAATACACAATTCCACACTTCTAGTGATTTAAAGAATGTGAGCTTTCAATATTCATTCAGATGGTTTCTGACTCTAAATTTTCTTTTGTCATTAGTCAGCTTTTTCTAATGTACTGTACATTTTAAAGGTGTCCAGCTACTTTCCAACTTCTATGTGAACTTTCAACAGTTCTGCACTTTTAGCTGAATGATTTGTATTTCAGCTCATTCAACATTTCTAACTTATCAGTTAGAAATTATTACATTTCAGCTCAAAACATTCATCTATCTATCTATTCACATGCATTTACTTCAGGAAATCAATTCTTTTGGTGTATATGAGAGTGGCATCACCATCATTAGAATACATGTAAGTATACTGTATTGAAATGCCGGTCTCTCACAAGGTAAGGATCATGTGTGACTGCTTTGTAACGCTGGGAACTAAAATATCTGAGTCAGGAAATAATTCAGAAATGCCACCTCATTTAAAAAAAAAAAGTACACAAAGGCTACTAACAATGTAGCACATACACATTTAGTAACACCTCTTGATGCATCTCAATCATCCAGGTAAGTAAATCTCCAAAAGTTGATTCTGTTCATCTGGACGCTACGTCCAGATGAACAGAATCAACTTTTGGAGATTTAATAAGACCCTTTTCTTTTCTTTAGTATTTTAATTTTATGGACTTTAAAACATCAGTATTTCAGAAGCTGTACCATCATTGTACACAAATGTTTGTAGATACCACATGCTGTTTAAATTTACAAGTGTGCATTATTCAGAAGTTCACATATTTTACCTTCGGAAAGTACTTTTGAGGTCAGTGTTACACTGGCTATAGCCGGTGAAGAGCTGACAGGCCACGCAACAGGAGGCTAATGCCTACTACCTATACTCAACTATCAATTTTATTATAACACTAAATTCATCACAAGAGAGGCTTAGAGGAGAAATCAGTCGTAGAATTATTTACTGAATATGTTGTGTTCACAATCTAGCAGGCTCACATTGTGGTTTATGAGCCATTGTTACTGCATGGCAGTAGTATGCGCGTGTTAACGGGCGCATTAACAGGCTTCCCCAGAGTAGCAGTTTGATAGCCAGCTCTGTAATGAATATCTTTTTGAAGCATTTGTGGAAAAATGCCACAATGCTACTTCCTGGTCTGACTGACCTATCAGTGGCTCCAACTAAAGTCATGTTGGAGCCACTGATAGGTAGGGATATTAGGAGAGTGGCATCTAATTATGTTGCTTTAATATGCTAAACAAACAATAGACAATGTTAATTTGCTGGTGAGGACAGGGGAAATGACGTGAACAGTACATATGCTGTGTGGCACATTTAAGATTAAGGACAGATATAAAGATGTTCAAACTCAGACATGAGCTATTTTGCACCCTTTAGCATTCTGTGTCACAGAACAAGAACATACTCATTTCAGTCAGTTTAAATGAGTATGTTTGAGAGGACCTAATGGTATCATCCAAGATGATACTTGCACAGTGTAAATATGATCATTTTAGTATGAACAACTCAAATTATTCTTTGTGTTGTTCATACCTGGAGCACAATGTTAATCATAAACATAAGAGTTTTGGTCTCAGGGGTCATACACAGTATCAAGTCTTTAAAACAAATCTTGATTCATAGCAATAACACTTATGATGAAACCAACTCTTAGATAATGCAAACTCTACAATCTCAAAGGCTCGTGTCAGGTCTCTTTGTCTTTTGAGCGCCAACTGAGTTTGGCAGTGATGCAGTATTTTGCTGAGTGTCCTTACAGAAGTACACAGCAGGGTTTTTACAAGCCCACATTGACACTTCTCCTCCCCCTCCTGTTTTTCCAGGACTCGAAGTCAACAGCTGGCTGTTAAGCCCTGCGCGACTCAGGTAGCGATCTTTTATCCTCTCTGCATTGTTTAAACCGGGCCTCGTGGTTCTGAGTTGGCTGGAGAGGTATGCAGCAATATTTCTGGTCCGATAGCCCTCCTCTCTACTGCGTCCCAGTAACATGGCTATATTTGGGTTCCTCAGAGCATAGATCAGAGGGTTAATGGCTCCATTTGCCCAAGCTAGCCAAATGGCCACTGTGTCCATTGCAGGATTAAATGTGTAGTCCCCTATAGCAGTAACTAGCCCCATTAGACAATATGGCACCCGGCAAAAAATAACGAAAACAATCATTATCAGAACTGTGGTGGCTGTTCGCATTTCACTGTAAAATCGAAGTAAGTATGCATATGTGGTCACAGGCCTGACTCGTATTTCTGAGAGCCGAACAGTCTTACAAATGTTGTAATGGCAAAAACACATCAGGCAAAAAGGCAATAAATAACATACAATGATCAGACAGATGCTATAAGCTGTTCCCATGAGTGAGGTGCCAGAGTGGAACACATACATGCAGTGGTAAAAACCTTGCTTGTGGATTTCTTTAGGTGTTCGGATTACCAGATACCAAGGCAGAGAGAAAATGACAGCAGTTATCCACACTGCAATCAATAACTGGGCTGCTTTCTGTCTGCCTATTTTAGCCTGTGGTTGTCTGACAATGGAATAGTACCTATCAAAGGATATCAAAGTCATTGTCAGGGTGGCGATAATACCAAAGCAGGTGTTCAAACACCCATTGGCAACACAGAAACGATCCCCAAACATCCAGACTCCATCCTTACTGAAAAGCATAACAAAAGAGAATGGCAGACACAAGACAGCCGTGAGGAAGTCCGATAGCGACAGCGACATGATAAAAGCATTAGTCACTGTTCGAAGTTGCCTGTGCTTGATGATAACGACGACAACTGCTGAGTTACCAAGACAGGAGAGAAGGAATACAGACAGCAGTATCAGTGCCTGAGCTGCCACTATGATTCCATGGAGAACAGAGTTACTCTCAGCAGCACTCAGCACAGACGGGTTTAGTTCCTGATGGGTACGACCAAATTCACTTCCTCTTTGGTCTTTATGGTCTGACAGGTTTCCTGTGGTTTGCACTATGGTCTCTGTAGCGGTAGCCATGAGGTTGGTCACCATGGAAATAACCCTAAAGAACAAGATGGAGAAATTATTGTTCAAAAAACTGTGGATACAAAGTTTTCACTGCTGCAACCAGGTTTCTGTAAGGCAGAGTAAATCGATGTGTTGATCAATTATTAATCATTTACTAACAGACTTGGAGGAGAGACCTAACATGTAATAATCCACATTTCACTGTTTTACTCTTTGGTTCAGATGTGGATACTGGATTTTTATGTTTAAGTTGTTTTTGCTGGTTTTTAGTTTGTTTTTTGTCTGTTTGGGAGCTGACACAGTCTCAATGGAGATGGGGTTTTGGGGGGGTAGCAGGAGGAGAGAAGCTGCATAGAGGCGTGTAAGGCTGAGTCCCAATCCAGCGACCACACGCATTTTGAGACCTATTACGTCACAGCGTCGTGACGACGGCTGTCCCAATCCGAAGTGTATTCCAAATGCTCCGTCGATTTCCCCAAATTTGAAGTGTGCTCTGGTGTACACTTTTTGGTCCCATATATCCCACAATTCATAGCGCGGCGGCGGGTGTGGATAATTTTGCTGAAAAATACGGCAGACAGCTGAAGCGGAGCAGCTGAAGAGTAAACTTTTAAAAGTAAGTACTGAATATTATGTCACTTATTTATGTGCGAATGTTTAATAATGTAGAACATTAAAACATTCCTGTTGGCCACATGTCGGCAAAGTTATGTGACTTTAGCGATGTTTGTACTAACTTGGGTTTAATATATATTCTGAGCTAAGTTGATCTATAGTGTTACATCATATTCTATAAGGATGTTATGTGTTTGTAGACTTTCTGCCCAGTTTGACCCATTTAGCAGACGTCAGCCTGTTTAAGGCTCTGATATCTATTCTGTGTGACTTACAGCAGTTATGACATGGTCTGATTTTCTCACCCAATAAAGGAATATTCAATATATCAGTCTACTCTTCATTCTATCAGACACAGTTATCACAGCTCGTACATTTTCTTTTTACACATATGTCAGATTATTATTATTGTCAGATTATTATGATTTATTACTGCTGTAATAAATGAATATAATATTGGCCATATTATATGTAAGTGAGATTTGAGAAAAGTCAGATGACTTTAGTCTCATGAACAACATCAGCTAATTGTTATTTACTAACTAATCTTGAAATGACTGTTCAGCACAGAAATGAAGCCCAACAATCATGTTTTACAGTCCCGTGGTCTCAGCCTCAGATACTCAACTAATCACAGTGATGTCATAAAAAAAATGAATGAACAAAAAAACATTTTTCTCCTTCATTTCTGTCACACAAAGCTGTATGAAACGTTTCTTGCAGTTAGTATCAAGGTTGCTAGGCAACCTGAGCAGCCTGACGAAGGCCAGACCGTCCCATTTCACAAGCCTTGCACTTCCACACTTCTCATACTACAGCGTGCGGTCGCTGGATTGGGACACAGCCTAAGACTGAAACTCTGTTTCCTGGACTCTGGATAGTCATATTTTTTTTTATTCTTTTTTGGGGGGGAGGGTCATAAATTTGGCCAGATTTCTAGAAATGAGAGCTGCTCCATCCAAAGTGGGATGGATGCCATCTCTCCTAACAAGACCAGGTTTCCTCCAGAAAGTTTCCCAATTATCTGTGAAGCCCACATGGTTTTTTGGAGATCACTCAGACAGCCAGCAATTTAAGGAGAACATGCGGCTAAACATGTCACTCCTGGTCTGATTGGGGAGGGGACCAGAGAAAACGACATTACTATTACAGAGCCTGTTGAAATAAACTGACTCTTTAGAGCAATTGATGAACACCTGTAGCAGAAATTGCCAAAGAAGAAATTGGAATTAGGTGTTAAGTATAAAATCTGCAAACAAGTGGGACCAGATGGTTTTCAAACTGAGTTGTATAATTAAATTTTTTTTTGTTAAAGCATTATATAAAGACTTTACACTAGTCCTGGTCAAACAAAAAACTGAGAAATGGAAGGCATGGTATATAACATTAATAAAAAACCAAAAAAAGCTTTTCTGTCTTTAGGTGCAAAGAAGGCCTTTGAAAGGTTTCACATGGCCTTACATTAGATCAACAAATTATTTTGTTAAATATAAAGAAATGTGAATAAAACTAATTAGCAACACTATAGTTTAATTTGATAAAAAAAATTCATGTTTAACAAGCGTTATTGTATTTTTGTTTCATCCCCTGGGTGAGCTGTTGTAAAAGGCCTGAATGTGTCACTACACCACTAATAGCAGTCAGTTCTAAGAATTCATATCAGTTCTGTCGATGCCGTTGGTTATCGGTGCTATTCCTTGTGTAAATGGAGTGCATCAGTAACTTTCTGCTCTCGATTCACTCAGTTGGCTGCTGCATTTTGGTGACAGTCTCATGAAAATTTGCACGGGTGTTTATTTCTATGAAGGCATAAAAGATGGAAAAGGCACACTATCCTGCAGGCCCGTCCTCAAAGGCAACTCTGTTAATGAAGGAAGGAAAAAAAAAAGCCACATCCCTTGCTTCAGACACAGTTTTAGATTAGAGTCTCTATGTTGGTTTAATGATTGCTAAAGTAGCTGCTGGTAACTCATTTAATCGTGGTCTTTATTCTCACTGTCTCCAAGACCATCAACACGGGAAAGGAAACCACATGGACCACGCCACTGTTACACTGGCTGCTTAATAGTGGTATGGTCCATTTTGTTGGACATTTTTTGATTGTAAATAGCTCTGTGAGCACTCCATGCCTGCTGCCTTTCTGTCTTTACGTAAAAGCCATTTCAATAACGCTCCACAGTGACCTGCATGAAATAAAGCCCAGCTTTAAGGACTATGACCTCATTGAGTGGTTCTTAGATTGACTCCAGGAAAGCATCATCAGTACATATTCTTGCCGTTATAGCCTTCCTGTTATATGAATCTGTTTTAGCTGTTACACAACACAGAACAACTTCTTTACAAAAAATATGCACGATGCAAAAAAGAGCAATAAGGACACAATATTTGGGATTGTGAACACACAAATAAACCTTTTTTGAAACCACAAGTTATGAAATTCATGAATTTAGTACAATTTAAAACCACACAGGTGATGTTCAAAACAAGAAATACTATGTTTCCAAGTAATATTCAGAATTTATTTAAGAATAGAGAGGGAAGGTACGGCGTGAGCAGAAAATGCAATTTAAAGCAGCCATGTGCAGCCAACGCTCTTAAAAACGTGCATATCAGTTTGTGGAGTGACTTTGTCGAACAGCCCAGACAAAGAAATTAAAGAAAGTAAAAATATTGCACAATTTAAGATAAATATAAGCAATACATATTTTATGTGTATAAAAATGAAAGATTAGGTATTCACGTTATGAGCTGTGCTATTGTATAGAATGAGAATATCATTATATTGAAAGTATTTGTCTGTAGGTTCAAAGATGTATCTGTACACATGGATGCACATCTATGCATTTGTATATGTATATTTGTATATAGTAACCATTTTAATTAAGAAATTGTCGACAAGCTTATCTGGATAAGCCTCCTGCTCCGTTTTGTTTTAGTTTTGTAGATCATTTTGTTTGAGATGTTTTGCATTTCCTTTCTTTGTTTATAAAGTTTATACAGTAAGAAAGAACTTTCTACAGAATCAAACTGGGATTCACTGTTTGATCAAAACTGTAAGATGCTAGTTCAAAGTGGAGCCACCTGTTGCCTGTTTTTATTTAATGCATTAATAAATACACATAATACACATTTCAAATTGAAATGCATATCTGTCGATGAGTTTGTGCTTCCCTCTGTCATTTTTTTGCTTCTTTTTTTTCATATTGGTAACTTTTTTTAAAGTATACCCCCGTAGCTACAGTGATTTGGAAAAGACATAACTTCTAAGGTAGTGTTGGAATATTAAAAGAAAATCTGTTTACTATACTACAAAGCTAGTTAGCAGTTGTACCCTTGTGCTATTAGAAACAAAATCTTTCATTAAACATCATTAAACTGAATATCAGCTAAATACGTTTAGTCCTCACCTGTTATGTTTTCCTCCTATCTGTTAAATAGGCGGACTGGTTCACAGCCTTGTACGTTTGAGGTGCAGCCATGTCAATAGTCTAAAGCTCGCTATTTGCTTGTGAAGTCTTTATTTGTTCAGTATTTTCCTCCTTTTACCTCAGTCGTTTTCTTACACTGTCCACACAAACAAGCGATGCCTTTGTGCTAGTCATTTCGCTCCAAACGCCAGTTATACGGATGTGTCCTGAGCTGTTTTCAGCAGAGTCCATCGAGCCTTTTCCTTGCTCTGATCCTTACAGCACACAGCAGGCTCCATATCCAGGAAAACCATCACACGTCCGTCCAAAAGCACCTACGAGCAGTCCTAGGCATGTGCTAGATCATGATGTTGAGATGTGGGCCTCTCCAAGCCTTTGTATGGAGAACAAATTCGGTCTATCTTCTTCTTCTATCACCGTTGTGTTCAGCGTCGCTATGAAAAAATTAACTCAAAAAATAAAATAAAATAAATCGTCGGAGGAAGACCACCGTAGCCATGTTGTTGGTTGATTTAAGGACGGTGTTAATAAACTGAGACCGAAGGCGCAATAAACGGACTGTAAACGAACAAAGCTTCAAGCGAGAGCAGGACGGCTCCAGCATCCATCGCGTCTCTCAGCTTCTCTACTATGACCCATCTCTCGCTCACTCACTCGAAGAAGCCACGCCTTGTTTGAACGTGCTCAAAACTTGGACCGACGTCTCATAAAGTTGCTATGGCAACCTGTGTGCAATTTTGCACCATCTGAGCCCATACTTAATGGCATAATTATCAGAGGCGAAATACACGCTAATATTCCCTCACACACACACACACACACACACACACACACACACACACACACACACACACACACACACACAGTAGATCTTGATAAAAGGGAAGAACGGGTGTTCGGCAAGGAGAGGATAGCAGGGGACTGAGCGCCTTGAATTAAAAACAAGAACATGAAACAATTTCTTAACCTTGATCATATGAGCTTCAGTAATGCAGTATAGCACTTTTCTTTTCACTTTGGTAATTCTGTATTTTATTTGTGGGCAAGTGTCCAAAAACTTTTGCGGGGTCATCCGAAATAAGCAGATAGCACAACAAAGCTGTTTCCCTCCCAAAGCTATATAAGATTATACAATGCTGAAATCATGCATTTTATTTTTGGCTTTTATAAACAAGGAATCACTGCTACACTGGCCACATCATTAGTAGCAGGCTAGACCCCTTTTTCCTTCCGAACTGACTTTTTTAAATTTATAGTATAAATTCAACAAGGTGCTGGAAGAATTCCTCTGATTTTTTCACAATATTGACATGATGTAGCAGGATGGTTTAAGGCTGCTCTCAATGAGTAACATGCCCGTTTTGAATATGCTGACCTAGTGCCAGCAGGGGCGCTGTGTATATAAGGAGGCTCTGTCACCTCCCTCTCTATGCTCACTGACGGTCAAATTTCCGGCCCGTTCTCAATCCCTGAGCGAACATGTTGCAAATTTCCTGGCATCTGTTGTCGCTCGCTGCTTGGTCGGCTGCATGTGAACAGGTGCATTGACATGGTATGTATGTTGTTGCCATTGCACAGAATTTGTGGATGTTTTATCTGCTTAATCTAACTTGGTTGTCCACTTAGAGGCCTTTTGCTGTGGCATCACCTGTTGCTGCTGGGTCGGGAAGGGCTCCTTTCTAGGGGTGCAACGATACACAAAATTCACGGTTCGGGTCGATACTTTGGTGTCACGGTTTGATATTTTTTCGATACAAAAAAAATGTTCATGCTTTTTTAATTTGTCATTTATTAAAATTATAAATATATATTTTAACTCAAACGTACAGTTTTTAAATTTAATGTTGCTGAAACAAAAAAGTTATAAAAACAATAACTCTATCTGATCGAGAAATCACTCATCTTTGGAAAAGAGAGTTTATTACAGAGAAATGTCTCTTTCCAAAATAAAACCTACACTATACGCTTCTTCTGGGCTATATTCTCAGCAGCATATTAGACATATCAGGTCCCCGTAGTGATGAATGAAGCTTTCTGAAACATTGAAGCTTGTATTGAAAAACGGTTCATTACTCCAAGCTTTTCAACACAGCCCTCTCTGGTGACATCTGGTGGCCAAAAATATGAAGGGCAGCTTGAATCCACAAAATAAAACCAACTGCTGAGTAATGATTGCCCAGTCTACAGAGTGGAATGCTGTCTAATATTGGGCCACCGTTGTGTTGCTTTAAACGTGTATTTTTGGGGTGACAAAAATGTTGTTAATTTCTTTAATAAATAATTTTGACCAGTAAACTCTCCTTGTTTAAACATGCACCATGGCGTGGTCTTTCTTTGCTTGTGACGTCTTGATGTTGGTGATGTTGGGGCGACCGTGGCTCAGGGGGGTTGAGAAGCGCATCTGTAACTGGAAGGTCACCGGGCTCTCTGTCCTGGTCGTTGTGTCCTTGGGCAAGACACTTCACCTACCGCCTACTGGTGTTGGCCAGAGGGGCTGATGGCGCAATATGGCAGCCTCGCTTCTGTCAGTCTGCCCCAGGGCAGCTGTGGCTACAACCGTAGCTGCCTCCACCAGTGTGTGAATGTGAGAGTGACTGAATAGTGGCATTGTAAAGCGCTTTGGGTGCCTAGAAAAGCGCTATATAAATGCAATCTATTATTATTATTAAATACAATAATTGAAAAAATACCACGTTACATATAATATACATATAATAATGTACAACACACATTATGCTTCTGCTGTGAGGTCCCGCCTCCATGTACTTATGCAGTTAATCGGTAGACGGGTATTTTTTTTTATAAATAATATTACATTAGGGAAATTTTCCTATACATATTTTTGACCTGGGGGTAGAATTGATTGTGAACTTGCAAATTAAAAACATGATGCATTTAAGGTAACCCTCTTCCATTTGTATTTAAGAAGAACATTTGTTCCACTGTGCGATGGCCGAACCTGTTCCTTTTATATTTAGATAATTTCTCCTGCCTTAAGGAAAATCCTTTCACATGGAACAGAAGAGGCTGGAGTGCAGAGAAACTGGTAGAGATGCAGTTATACAGTCTACCTGGGTCCCACAAACTCTCAGTTAAAGAGAATAGTTTAAGATTATTTCAAACAAAATGTATCTTTTTATAACATTAAATGTAAAGAGTCAAATAGAAGTCTTTCTAAAGATATTTAATAATATTTATATTATGAAAAGCAGATTTTTGACATTTTACGTTTTTCCCGTTGTCAGATAAAATAAACACGCACAAAACAAAAGCAAACAACAAGAACGCAAAGCTGGAAAACCCACCCGATTGACCAAAATCAACTCAAAATACTCCCACACAACAGAACCTCCTCTATTCCTCGCTGGCTCCAAATCACTCAGTTAAAATATCAGTGGTTTGCTATCTGTCACCATCAAAACACTCCACAAATCCCGCGAATGATTCGCTTCTATTGAATCAGATACCTAAGCAGTTAGGTTCTAAATGAAGCTTCGGGCGTCACTGATCACGTGACTCTGGCTAAACGAATCAAGCTTCGACACAGTGCTTCTGAAGCAGTGTGTTGATTTTTTTGACACACGCACCGGAGCGTCAGCTTCAAGCGGGCCATCACTAGGTCCCCATAAGGAGAATCATGTGCTAACGCAGACCTTCCCAAAGTGTGGGGCCCCGCAGAGCCATGGCAGAGGGGGGCGCGGGATGACAACGGGGGGGGGAACAAAACGCTTGTACACTGTTAACACAGGGCGCCTACAGAAACACAAAGCAGGAGATGAAGCATAGCTGAATATGTTTCCAAACCAACTTCATTCTAAGCCAAAGACTAGAAAATATGGTGAAGCATATCTTCCCTTTGGCTTCACCTGCACAAGTGCCGAGGTAGGTCTCCCCTGCAGAATTGGTTTTCCCTTCGTCGGGAGCAGCGCTGGGCTGTTTAAATCACGGACAAACAGGATCCCACACTGAAAAAAATAATCAGTGGGATAAACATAAAAAAAAATATGTACATCAGTTGCACGAAATTAAGTTATGTTTGGTTAACCTTAGTTTTTTATGTTATACCTGCACACATTTTTCTGGTAACATGAACATGGCTTTATGTTGTTGTTATGTTTTTCATTCTGGTCAAATATTTATAGAAACCACTTGTTTATCAGACATGAACTTTTTGTGTTAATTGTATTTGACTACTATATGTTAAATTGACAAGATTATTTTATGGTAAGCTTATTTTATTTTATAACAAATTTCTAATATATAATATATAATCTAATATATAATTGAGTGTTCAATAAGTAAAACTAAATTAAGGCTGATCTTACTGTATGTACTGTACACTTTCTCTTCAATCAAAGAAATAAGCAAAACATTTTTGAACAATGACCTGTATTTTTGAAAATACTACACGGTTGTAACAATGGACTTTCAATTCAGGCTTCCAAAATATACATGAGTCATATTTGTACAATGCATCTCTTGAAAAACATTCCACAACATTCCTCAAAGTTATCTGCTGGAACCTGAATTCAACATTGTGGGGCCCTATGACATCGCGCTTATGTAAAAAATAGATTTTTTAAATGTAAGAGCCATAAGGTAATATGGCAACAGGGGTGTAATTATTAAAATGACACAAAGAAGAGACTTAAAATAACATTATAACCCACAGGCACAAAACCAAGAGACCTAAACTGATTAGTATTGGCTTGCTTCTATCACTAAAATGGTAAATGGCCTGTATTTATATAGCGCTTTACATATCCAGTCATCCACCCATTCACACACAGGTGATGGCAGCTACATTGTAGCCACAGCCACCCTGGGGCGCACTGACAGAGCGAGGCTGCCGGACACTGGCGCCACCGGGCCCCCTGACCACCACCAGTAGGCAACGGGTGAAGTGTCTTGCCCAAGGACACAACGACCGAGACTGGCTCGAACCGGCAACCTTCCGATTACAAGGCGAACTCCCAACTCTTGAGCCACGATCGCCCACTAAACATCACAATCACTAATACTAGACGATGCAATCTGTTTGTAGTGGTGCACCTTGGGAAAAAAATTGCAAACTGGTGAAATTGGTGCAAGGCACCATTTCCATTGAGAAAAATGGACATTCAAAGTTTGAATTTTTTTTCAAAAGAGCCATGGATTGAAAAGTGAAAACTGCAGTAATAAAGGCCCCAAGTTGAAAAGTGCCAGAAAAATAAGTTTCACTATGTACTGCAACTTTACCAGTGCTGGCTTAAAAGAAAGGATGGTACATATTCAAAGAGGTAAACATGTTGTTCCCACATCATAACTGGAAAACTGTTCAATCGTACAGTCTGGTCCTGAAAACATGGGCCTTCTTTGAAAGGCTGTTGCTTTTGAGCTCCATAACCAGTTTCTATAATACCTCAAAGGTATACTTTTCCAGTGGGCAGGTGAGGTTCAAAGTGTACATTAGTCCAAACAGCATTGCAGCTGCTAGGGTATAGTTATCCAAATCCAGCAAGACTCTCTGGCCTTCAAGGACTATCCCGATGTCCTCAGGGCTGCCATTGGCATCTCTTGACTTTATGATGCAAATTCCCATGGTTGTTTCCTTATAAGATCGTTGGATAATGGCTTCATCTGTGGCCTAGCAAATGCAGAATTCCAAATTTTAATTCAACAGAACACTGGTCAAAGAACATTATATCAAATCTTATTTTAATCTGTGTCACTATTCCCAAAAATGTTAACATTAACACTTTAGGTGAACAAAAATGGATTCATTACAGCATGTGATTTGAGTCCTCAGAATGCTCAAAAAGGTAATGCATGAAGTGAAATCTCCATGCATAGAAGCAGAATACTGTCAGAGCATAGAGAGGTGTTCAACTATGAACTCCACACATGGTCCTAATGCAGGTAAAAGAAAAAAGAAAAACGCACCCATGGTAAATTGTGAAAATCCCAGGTGATTTTCAACATACTCCTGGCATAGAGTGACAAGCAGCATTTTGTTAAAATTATTATTTTCCCTAAAGTGTATACACAAATTAATTTTTTTTCTTACCTGGGCCGTGGGCTCCAGAATGTTCTGCAGTCTTCTTCCTATCTGTCCTCCTCACCTTTTGAAGACCTTTATTAGTTTGTCAGATAGCACATCTATCTGCGAGAGTAATATGGACTGCAGTGGCATGGTGGTAATGCGCTTAAACTCTGCATTTATCTAAAAAGAGAAGTTGTCACAAAAATGCTGTCAAAATCTCAAATCTCACAAGGTTACATCCACACAAAGTTGTTATTTTTTGTCATATTACTATTTATTAGCTATGGGTCCAATGTTGCTGAGCAGTTCCATAATTGCCCTTACTTCCATACCACCCAAAGCCTGTTTGCAACCACAGCAGTTGCCTCCTTCTGGCCATTTTGCAGTTCTGCCAAATGACCCAGAAACTACATCTATTATAGTCATATATACATCAAGGTCTTTCATTAATACTTAGTTACAGTAGTTAATTTGACCTTTCCAGAAAATTTTACTTACAGAATGTGACATAAAATATGTAAATCTTCACTAATAAATAAAATAATGTTATTAAAACCTTAACTGTAACACCTCTACATAACAGCACTAGAGAATTGCTCTGAAGCAAAACCAATCTGCCCTTCAGCAGGGATAAGCACCATATATCAATACAGAAAAAAATAAATTTTACGTATTTGTTGTCATGTTTTTATCTCTTTAAGCCCTCCTTTCAGTCTCTCTATAAATCAGTTAAAATAATTTGTAGGGTATTTGTGTGTGTTTAACATGTTATCAGTACATTACCTTCACTGCCCCAGAACATGAAATAAAGCCCCACGTCATGCACTTTCTCTCCTAATGAGTACTGCATAGGTGTCATGCACCAAATAAACCGACTTTAGTGAAGACCCCCCCCCCCCCACACACACACACACACAGCCCACCCCATGGCAAACTAGCTTGTTTAACTGTTTAACTAAAACATTTTAGGTACAACCAGTTAACTAAATGGACACAAGTTTGTTAGTCTGTATTCACTGAGAAAAAACAGGCGGATGTGACTGGGCACACACTGAAAAACTGCTAATGCACATAATATTGTGGCAAGCTAAGACAAGGAGGAGACAGAATTCTGTTCGGTCTTGCTCCCCCGCCCTCTTAGCCAGGGAGCACAGCCATTTATTTACATCTGCCAGGAGAACACTGCCGCTAGCTCACTGCTCAGCGCGGCAACAGCACAGCAACAACAACAACAACAACACACAGGGCACCCTCTGACCCCGGAAGGACACACCATCGCAGCGACAGGGCGTCACCCGTCACTATGGTAACATAAACAAAACATAACTGTGAAAACAGAACCCCGAACAGCCCTGACCCGCTACATAGCCCCCACCTAAGGGGTCAGTCGTCCCCGACGACCCCATTACCCCACACAAAGTCCTGCAAATGTCCAGGTGCCTTCTTTTGGCGCACCGGCCGGTCTCGAACGGCGGGGGAAAAGTCACTTGGGTCAGAACATGGGGTGCCACCATCATCCCCTGCCCCGGCGTCTGCCGGGCTCCTGTCCCGACACCCCCGCCCAGGCGGGGCGTTGCGCCGCCTCCAGCCAGGCCCCCACCTGAACCAAGGTCGCGTCGGCCTCCTGCTCCCGCTTCAGCTGCTGCGTTGTCAATGGGAGCCAGCCCCCTCCGCTGGCTGTGGCCTGAGCAGTAGCCACCCCCAGCACCTCCTGGGCCCGCTCCTCCTGTCGCAGGCAGTAGCGGCACTCGACGGCTACGCAGGGCCGTCTGGAGAGGGCATCAGCGTTGCCATGCTGTTGACCTGCCCGATGCTGGATCTCGAAGTCGTAGCCCTGAAGGACCTCCAGCCAGCAGGCCACCTGCCCTTCTGGGTGTTTGAAGTTCAGGACCCAAGTCAGAGACGCATGGTCAGTGTGCAGGAGGAACCGGCAGCCGTGCAGATATGGCTGGAAGTGCCGCACCGCTAGCACTACGGCCAGCAGCTCCCGCCGGGTCACGCAGTAGTTCCTCTCGGCTCACCCCAAGGCACGACTGAAGTACGCCACCACCCGTTCTCCAGCCTCGTCCTGCTGGGAAAGGACCGCCCTGACTCCTACATTGCTAGCATCAGTGTCCACAATGAAAGGTTGCCGGGCGTCGGGGTAGGACAGGACTGGGGCTCTGGTGAGGGCCTCCTTCAGCTGTGCAAAAGCCGCAGCACAGGCATTCCCCCAGCCAAACAGCTGTCCCTTGCCAGTCAGGCGGTGGAGGAGGCTGGCCATCGTCGCGAACCCCTTGATGAACTGACGGTAGTAGGAGGCTAGGCCCAGGAAGCTCGGCAGTTCTTGGACGTTCGAGGGAGTTGGCCAGTCCCGGACCGCAGCCACTTTTGCGGGGTCAGTGGCGACACCTCGAGCGCTGATCACATGGCCCAAGAACGTGGTCTCTCTCGCCAACAGCCGGCATTTCGCGGGGTTGAGCCGCAGCCCAGCTCGTCGGATGGCACTCAAGACCTCGCTCAGGTGAGACAGTGCACTGTCGAAGTCGCCACCGTGCACCAACAGGTCATCCAGGTACACAACGCAGCGGCTACGAGGGATATCCACGAGCACCTTCTCCATCAGCCTCTCAAACGTTGCTGGCGCATTGCAGAGCCCAAATGGCATGAACCTGAACTGCCACAGCCCCTGTCCAATGGTGAATGCAGTCTTAGGCCTTGCTTCGGGGGATAGCTCCACCTGCCAGTAACCGCTGCTTAGGTCGAGGGAGCTGAACCAACTGGAGCCGGTAACGTAATCTAGGGCCTCGTCGATCCGCGGCAGCGGGTACAAGTTACAAGTCACCTTCTTGGTGACTGCATTGAGACGGTGAAAGTCCACGCAGAACCTCGGGCTGCCATCCTTCTTCCCCACCAGAACCACGGGCTATTGGACGGCTCGATCACCCCAGCCGCAGCCATCTCACGGATCTTCTCTTCAGCTACCTGCCGTTTTGAGAGGGGCAGCCGATGTGGGCGCAGACGGATGGGCTGAGCAGAGCCGGTGTCGATGGTGTGCTGGACCAGACTCGTCTGCCTACAGTCTTTGTCACTGGCGGAAAAGATGTCCACATTCTCGTCCAGGAGGCACCTCAACCGCTGGCGCTGGTCGACGTTGAGGCCTACGCTGCTGCGCTGCCAAAGGTCATCAACAGCCTCGATGTTCTCGGTCGAGGGAGGTTTGTCGGGCTGAGAAGCTGAGGCGAGTGGAGATGACCTGGAGCAACCGGCATCCGAAATCTGTTGAGCGGCAGCTGCCCGACGCCTGTCTCGTCTGGTCCCCTCCGCTCCCTGCTTTTGGCCGTGCTGGAGGGCAAAAGTCTCTGCGCCAAGAGTGATAGCCAGCTTCGCGGTGTCGACGCAGGCCCCCCAGCTGCTCAGCAGATCCAGGCCAATGATGCACCGGTCTTGAATGTCGGCGATCCTTCACTCGGATCTGCAACGTTTTCTTCCCCCGCATAACAGTTTTCTCCCCTGTCACTGTCATCAGCTGGGTGTCTGTGGGCACCCAACCCTCCACCAGTGGCCCGGATGTTCCAGGGAGCACGCCAGGTAGACCCCGTGTCCACCAGGGCCTGGCATGGCTGGTCCTCAACACAGCAGCTCAGGTAGAGTCCCTTGAGGTGCCCAACTCGGCCCACCACTGTGCATCGTCCTTGGAGGGGGGCAGGAAGCTGGAGCGGTGGTCCCCTCGCTACACCGCTCCCTCCTCGTTTCCCTGAGGCTGCGTAGTTCTGGTCTTCGGGGCTGGTGCTGGGAAGTCACGCGCCATGTGGCCAGGCTCATCGCACTGGTAGCAACGGTCGGTCGGTCGACGAGGACGCCTCCGGGGCACCGAGGGTTGCAGCTGGGACATCTCGGCGATCTCCCCGTCGCATTCTGCGGCTCTGATTTGGGGGTAGTTTGGGGGGGGCACCTGCTGGTTAGGTCGCGAGGTGAGCACCGGCTCGGCCCTTTCAGCCTCAAGGAGCGCCTCACGGGGGGTCTGAGGCATGGCCAGGCGGACGTGTTGGCGTAGTCGCTCTGGGAAAAGTCCTCGCAGAAAAGCATGCAGGCTAAGCTCCTCACGGGCTGCTGCTGGAAACTCTGGGTAGCCACGACGAGCATACAGCAACACGTCTGCTGCAAAGGTGCCCAGGCTCTCCCCCGGCTCCGGTTGGTCAGCTGCTCTCTGCTCTGATCAGTGGAGTGCCGCTGCCCAAATCGCCTCTCGAGTGCTGCGGTGAGGGCCTGGAGCTCATGCTGCTCTGCCGGGGATAGGTCAAGGAGTATCTGCAGTGCATCTCCCTCTAATGCTAGCGCTAGGTGTGTAGCAGTCTCCTCTTCGCTCCAGCCACTATGTCTGGTGGCCAGCCGCACTTGTGAGAGGTAGGGCTCTAACGGGGTTAGCCCGTTGTATTTCGGTACCTTAACTGGCGTGGTAGGCATAACTGCTCACAGTTGGGGGCTCGGCGTGTGGGTCAACAGAGGTAGCCCATGAAGCATTGCCCTAGCATCTATCGCGACAGGCCGCCGCCGCGGTGCGCTCGCGCCATCGGGAC